ATAATAGAAAAAAAATAGAAAAATAAATCTTACATAAAAATTATGCAGTGTACGAATATTTAAATATGTGCAATGGAAAACTAACAGGATGCACTCCCCTTTCTGCCATTTCTCTGCATGTGTGGAAGTTTATCAGCAAGTGCTCACTGTTTCAGCATGCTGGGCCAATAGTCTCCGGTGCCGTAGTACACAACACAAATCAGATGAGGGGCTGAATGCACGTTTATCTTTAAAAAAAATAGTGACGATACACAAAAAACGTTGGTTGATAAACGTGCGTTTTATCACCAGAACTCCCGAAAACAAGCAAGTGGCTTCACACGGTTAGATTTATTCCTTATAAAATGTATCCACTACATTCATATCCCACTCCACAAAAAAAAAAAAATGCTTTAAAACAAAACTTGAACTCTGATGGCAACATGGCCTGGACAGCAGGAGTGGATCCAGCCAAAACATGGCCTTTAAAAGGAGAGACGTTTCCGATGAGACAACGAGCTGCTAAATAATTAGTTATGTCAGAAGCCAGTTTCTAGCCTTCCTAAATGATATACATGGTAGTTATAGTATAGACATATTATTACGTTGGCTATTAACGTGTGACTGGATTTAAATAAAGACATCTAAACAAGCTTGGCTAGCTTTAGTAAAATAGCCTAGCAGCCTCACGGGAGCCATGTTTGAAGAATTTGTTAGTGCATGTTGTGACCCCTTTATTATCAAGCATCGTGATCATACTTCCATATCAACGATTATGTAGTTGTAAACAAATTGGGCGGGAGGTTCACTCACTCAGATCTGCTGAATCTGTAAACATTCACCAGAAGCGCAGCTCGACGACATCTCCTCGCACCAGAGGCTAACACTAGCAACGCTGGCTAGATCTAGCACTGCGAATAGCATTAGCACTCAGTGTGCGCTAACAGACCGTTTTGCGTCGTTTTCGTCGATATTTGAAATTAAATGGTCATATTATGAACCAGCAAGTGTACTTTTTCTCACTCACTGCAAAATCATAGCATACACAGTGTGAAGTTGCATTTGGACATTTTAATATAAATGTATAACCGACCCTTATATGAATGTTCACCCGGCTTAGCTCACATGCTAACCACGGATGTTTTGTTGTGTATCCACAGTTTGATCGAAATGAACCTAAACTAAACTTAACATGGATCATGAGATACTCACTTCTCGAAGTGTGTACGGTCACAAGGTTCCCCCATCCTCAAAATAATTGATCACCCCCTCGCGAAGCATCAAGCAGCAACGCATGCAGGCGTTAAATCCATACGGGGTTGTCGGAAATGATCGTCGGATCAGAGGCTCCTACGCTGCTGCTGCTGCGCCCCAGCTTCAGCAGAGCAGAATGTTGGTTCAATCGAGCTAGCATGTGCTCGGATAGCTACATAGTTGTCTGAGTCGAATGAGGAAATGCACAAGCGCAACGGTTTCATTTTGGTTATTCATGTTTTCATACAGATTCATCAGGGTGACCTTAAATGCGTTTCTGTCGTTTTTTTTTATTAAGAAAACCGTTCCTCACAGATGTTCGCAGACTCTGGCTGATGCCTTTAATGTCACATGATTAGAAGTGGGGCGCGAATCCAGGAGAAAACGGAGACCGGAGACGATACCAAACATTTTTTTGTCTTTTCTGAAACCAAGCATAGTAACGTCCTTTTGACAGGTTGCAAGTTAGCGGGCCTCTTGCTCGCTCTCACTCTCTCTATTGCACAGAAAAGCAGCTAAAATTAGGCAGAATTACCACAAACTAGATGAATAAGATTTGCTATTAAGTCGGCACCATTTACACACCGACGTACTCAAGCGACGAACGGAATGGGTGGAGTTTAATAAAAAATAAATAAAAGACAGGGGGTGTCTGACTCTAAAAATGCTAAATGACCCGCCATAATAGCGCACAGATAAAAAGCTTGTTTTGATTAAATGCAACTGGTGATACGTCATTGACATTAACATGCTGCTCCTTCAGCATTAGTTTCAAACAGCATCTTCTTTAAAGTACCTTTAAAAGTTTCTAAGTATGCAAAGGCAGTGCATTAGGTCATTCACATACCTGCTATAAAGTTATTGCATCTCTGGCAGTGCTGTTTACATTATATACATGTACAATAGGATATATTTTTTGGCCAACTGATTTATCGACCAGTTGATTTCTGGGCGCCGATTTCCTTAATTTTGGGGGATCATGATTGACCGATATTTACATGTGAAGCCCATCTTATCCCCTAATCTTATCTTCGTCACCAAAGGATTAAAAATCAGTCTCTGTCCTCTTGTGCTCTTATTGAGAGGTTTGACCGACAGACCAGCCTACCAGGTCATGTCTGAATGTTTACAGTTAACAATATTCTCCCCATGTGAAAAACTCAGTGACTTTCTTGCTATATTTAGCAACATTTCAGACCAAAAAAGGGTTTTAAAGATCAGTAACCAGGGATCGACTAGAAAACTACAATCGTGCAGCCCTACACACATATTCATGACATTCTTTAATGAAATAAATTTTCCTGAAGCGTCACTCCAATAGCTAAAAATTAAATTTATATCAAGTGAGTCTGTCTCCCCTGAAAATGTGGATTGGTACATTTGGACTGATTCTGAGCCTTCAAATGATTTTAACAGAAGTTTCACATATCTCAGAAGTTGATGTAAAAATAATGTTTGTTTTAGCCACAAAATGATTAAGCTCAGCAGCAAACAACAAATCTCCAGCTACAATATAGAGCAGCTCATCGATGTAGCAGATGCAGCCTGACGCAAAAACATTTTGCTAGACAATGTCAAACATTGAGAAGTTTTAATTATTCTTATCAAACATTATGAAACATGGCATTTTGAAGCCAAAAATACCTGTTATATACAGAGCCAAGCAGGAGAATCAACTCATTTAAAGTTTAAACTCAGTTTCACACAAACACAAAGCTGGCAGCTTCACAAATCTTTTACATTACATTACCAAGGCACAAAACAAACCTTTAAATTGTTTTTTTGTTTTTAATTCTTTTTCTTTCATTTCTCTCTCCCTGAAGGATAAGTTCATTTTGAGACATTGTTTTGCTTACTTAACTTCTGACTGGAGCTTTGGAGTTTTAGACGCACGCTGCACATTGCAGCTCATGTTGCTGGTGAAGCGTGCGATACCGACTGTGGTCACCAGGGTTCCCCAAGAGCAATTTACTTTTAATCAATATATAATATATATATATATATATATATATATATATATATATATATATATATATATATATATATATATATATATACATATATATATATATATATATATATATATATATATATATATATATATATATATATATATATGGTTTGTTATTGTAAAAACAAACCACTTCATAGTGAAATTGTGTGTTTTTGATATTATACTGATATAGAAATTATTACTAAAAATAAATAAATATATATATATATTTTTTTTAAAAGCAAGCGGCCGCTTAGTTTGCTCGTGCCTTGGACCGGGCCTGTGCGAAGGCGCTCAGCTTTAATAATTTAACTGACCTCCATCTGAGGTCGTGACACTTTGCATGCCGGTACAACAGGTGGCGCTGTGTCATTTTCAATGCTCTTACATTCGCCTCCCTCTTTGTCCAGGACAAAAGAGAAAGCTTCCACATTTCTCGGAGCAAGGCGAGCGACCTTAGGCCGACGATCCACCTTAATATATCTACCATATTCTCTTGACTCTCGGTTTTGTGAGGGTTGTGGTTGTTATTTGTGTAAGTTTAACCGCTGTTTAAGCTGGTTTTGTGGTATGTTTTCGACATTGGTATGGCGCAATCAGTCAGCAGAGCTGAAGCTGCAGAGGCAGTCAGGCCGAGCTAAGAAGCGAGCTAACGTTAGCGTACTTTCTTATTTTCCTCAACTTTCAGTTCCTCCTCGGGCTTTTTAGAGTGTGACACCGTTCACGGATTGTTTTATCGTCGTCTTGTTCTGATACGTCCGGGTACGGCGTACATTTGACTTCTTTCTCTGTCTTGTTCTGCGGGCTTTCTTCCGTACAGCTTCCGTATGACGGATACCCAACATATGGAGATGTGGCATCTGGTTTCGTGTGTCGGTAATGGTTGATGAGCGAGGCGCACTTTTTCACACTACAGAGTGAAATGTGCTATTCTCAAGTTTCCTTGTAATATTGGACCATGAAGTGGCCGTATACGTCCTTCCGCACGGTGCAACCCGAACGTGCACATTGTTAGATGAATGATGACGCGGTGGCTCGCTAGCTGTAGCTTCTGTGTTGATGTGGCTTTTCTAATATCTGGGTTTTGAACCATTAATTTGAATCGTTCATGTTTGCAACTTTATTGAATAACCATTTAAAGATGATGCACCTGCTCTTCTGAATAAAATTGATGTAACTTGCTTTAATTTGAAACACCCACAATGGTTCAGTTTGTGGCGAGTTTCATAAAACCTTTCGTTATCAATATGTTTACACTAAAGATGAGTAAGATCTTGGATACATGGAATATTCTGGGAGTCCTGCAACATTTCTTGTTGGCGAATGGAGAACTTTGATACCACTGGAGATAAATCTAAAGCAAGGGAATGGAGGAGCCTGGAAAATGGATAGATTATTCTTTTATTGACTTGAAAGAAATCTCTGGTAAATGAAATTGGAATCAGAGGGAGCGGAATGTACACCATGGAAATACCAGAAATCACAACTGCAAAGCGTTAATTACCTGCTTATAAACCAACAATTATCTGATTAAAAAATAATTGGATGGCTGAATTATTTAGCCTATGGCATGGGATATTACATAATAAACTATGCAATAACGTTACTCACTGGAGATCCAGTAAGTTGTATAAACATGCACCGATTATTCGACTGCTACACGAATTGGCATGTCTCGGATGGATGCGAGTTATTTTTAGCAACCGCAACTTTGTTTAAAATTAGTCAGTTGAATCAGGACCACAAAAATTGTTCAAGCAGTTCTGCTTCAATTTTTTTCTAATTGTAAATTTTTGTCCATGTTTAGATCTGAGGCAGTATTAAAATGATTTAATCAGTGACGAGTGATTTTTAATATAGCATGCATAATATTTTCTGGATGCTTTCCGCATTTTGTGTGAAACAGCCAGGATGCCTTAGACACCCTGTTTTTATGCCCATTTAGATCTTGTACATAAAAGCCTGACATAATGACCTTCCTAATCACTGTAATAGCACGTGGTCTCTGAATGGACCTTTTTTGTTGTGTCAAACCCGCTGAAACAAAGAGAGACTGGCCTGTTGAACTTGCATTGTACTACACCTCTCTGGGAAAATAATGCTGGCGAGAGCTCACATGGAATCTATAAAGTAATGTCTGCAGTCTGTGAGATAAAGTAGGTAAAGCTAAAAATACATTTTCAGAGTCATTGTGATTGCAGTCATTTTAAGACAACAAAGTTCTTTCACTTCTGTTGATCTGTTTTAGAAAGTAAGGATTTAGCTTTTAGGATTTTATATATTTGTAAGAGAAAATTTTGTCATGATGAAGTTTAAAATTTGGAAGAAAAAAGTATTGGGTTAAATGTTGCTTTACCAAAAACAGTTGGTTTGGGACAAAAGGCCTGGTCGACCAAATTGGTGCATGTTTAGTGTTATGCTTTGGAGTTTTGGCTATGTTTTTGTTTACCTGAATGAAGAGAGGCTAGTTTTCAGATTGACCACTATTACAAAAGCCTTTTTTCTGAGCTACAATGGAACTGTGAGAGAATGGTATAGCGTGTTTGTTTGGTTTGGTGGAGATGGCGTCTTTTGAGTGCCTAAAGGATTAGATGAAGTTTTTCCTCTGGAGCTCTTGTGGATGACCACCTAATGTAATAACTGATGAAATACAATGTATTTGAAACCCATGCAGAATTTTGGGACTGGACCTATAATGGAACAAAGAGTGTCAGTGTGGAAGTTCCCTCTGTTGAGTCAATTTTTTGGTCATGTAAGGAAAAGTACTCAGTGACATATGTAAAGTATTTCATGTGGATCACTTCAACCCTTCATTTTTCAGCCATGTTTGTTTTTCAGGAGGCTTTTGTGGGCATAAGGAAAAAAAAATTTTTTTCAACTCGTACATTTCTTTCCATATTTATTTATCCTTTATGATCAACTGAATGTGGGGATATTTTTGCAGAGTTGGTGAGGCTCTGAAGGCAGTAATGATATTCTGTACCCCTTTGTCTACAGGTGCCGTTGTTTGTGCTTCATCATGGCGGTCGTCATCCGTTTACAGGGACTGAGTGTCACGGCAGGTTCTGTGGATATTCGCAGGTTCTTCACGGGCCTTCATATTCCAGATGGAGGTGTGCATATAATTGGTGGAGACCTAGATGAAGCTTTCATTATCTTTGGTTCAGATGAAGATGCCAGAAGAGCCATGGCACGGTCAGGGGGATTCATAAATGGGTCACCTGTAAGATTACTCCTAAGCAGCAAGCAAGAGATGCAGAATGTACTTGAAAGAACAGCGCAAAAGGTGGAGCTGGATGAGATTATGCGGTCTGAAAGCAATGGAAGAACTGCTCAAAGATCCATGGAACCTGAGGTGGGCAGAAGATCAAGTAGCCGATCTGGTTATAGCCCTCCTCCCCATCACCAACAACCGGCAGACACAGATGACCCCTATGTTGTGTTTCTCAACGGTTTGCCTTTCTCTGTGACTGAGAGAGAAATACGTGAATTTTTTCATGGTTTACTCATTGATGAAATTGTTGTATGTAAGAAAGATACAGGGCAAAACAATGGAAAAGGCTTTGCCAGATTTGCAACAAAGGAGGATGCATTGGAAGCCTTAAAGAGGGATGGGAACTATATTGGATCAAGGTATATTGATGTTCGCACAACAACAGCCAATTATTGGATACGAGCTGGTGGTAGCATGCCAGCACCTGTCGAGACGATTGACAACTTTGAAAGGGGAAGAACACCTGTCCGCAGTCAGAGAAACCCACAGTATGATACGAGGTCTCGATCACCTGTGCCCCAGAGAGCTGTTGCTCCTACAGATGAAGAATACTGTGTGCTGTTGGACAATCTGTCTTTTTCAGTGGAAAAAGGTAGCTTGAAGACCATTTTTGAGAACTCAAAGCTTGAGAATGACCAGATTCTGTTTCTAACTGATGATTATGGCAGAAGAACCAGGTCGGCCTTTGTACTCTTCAAGAACATACGTGACTATTGTGATGCTATAAGTCAGGAGAAAAGACATTTTCTCAACCGATGGATTCATATCCGGCCTATCTCAAGAGAGAACATGCTCAGGCTTCTGGAATCTAAGAATGATCCTACTGGGCCTCCGGGAAACTCTGAAAGGCATCAGGAAAGAGCCTCGTCTTTCTCAACAGATTCTTATGAATCTGAGAAAATCTGTGCATTTGTGAGAAATCTACCATTTGATGTGAGAAAGGTTGAGATTATTGACTTTTTTCATGGGTTTAATGTCACAGAGGACAGAGTATGGGTTCTGCATGATCAAAAAGGTAATGGGGTCGGACAGGCTCTGGTTCTCTTTGGGTCTGAGGCAGAGGCCATGGAGGCACTTTCTCTCAATGGACGGCGGTTTCTGGGGTCTGAAGTTGGAGTGAAGTGTGTTACACGTGCTCAGATGGATCAGTTGACTGCTGAGCCACCATCAATGCAAGAGGTCTTGCCGAAAGAGGGGCACTTCTCAGGCAGGAACAATGAGCCTTTCCGTGGACCTAGTGGTGACGCTTTCTTCTTTGATACAAGGAAACCCAGGGATGGTAATGTGCCTATTAAAGAGGAACGTATCCATGGAGGTCAGGACTATGGATATCGTGGGGTAAGACCTCGTTCTCCGCGGGATAGGGGCAATGGAGGACATGGGAGGTTTGGTCCACCTGGTCAACGCTATGATGGTCCCACCTGTGTGCAGTTGATAAACTTACCATTCCAAATTAGAAGTGAGGAAGTGTATGATTTCTGTTATGGATATCGCATCATACCTGGATCTGTCTCACTTCAGTATGAGCCCAGCGGAAAACCAAAAGGCTCGGCCACTTTGGTGTTCGAGTCTCGTCAGGAAGCTTTAACTGCAATTGAGGAACTGAACGGGAGGCCGATTGGTCCAAGAAAAATACAGCTTTTACTTGTTTGAAATATATCTGTGGGTTCACATTTAAGACAAAGTAACAGGCACAACTTTTAGTTTATTTGGAAAGCTGGGAATATGGTATATGGCTCTTGTATGATTTCTTTTTCTTAAGTGCAATTTTATGCTTACAAGGAAGAATTTGTTGGAGTTTATTTTGGGTTTTCTATTCAATGCTTGGTGTTTTTCTTTTCAAAAAGTACTTCAGTGAATTCTGGAATACAATTTGGAACATGTATATTGTTTTTAAAATTAAAAAACAATTGATTCAGTTGTCATTTTCTTCCAAATCTGTGTTCCTGAAGGTAAAAATCTAAATAAATGTTACCAAGAGATAGCTCAATGACAAATTTAAGATTGCTTTTCTCTAGTTTGGTAATGGACCAATTAGATCAGGTGAGAATATCTATTTTGGTGTTAGTTGAATGAGGGCATTGTCTTCTGCAGTCTCCTTCACATCACTTTAATGTATCTTTTTTGGATAGTTCTAAGAGTCACTTATTTCTAGCCAAGTTGGTCTCAAACTGCCTGAGTTGAGTAAATGTATTGCATAAGTGCATTTTCTCAAGGAAAAAAAAAACATGGATAAATAGATAAACTATTAAGATTACAATTGGATGGGTGGAAAAATGTAATATGAAAATATAATTTATGATGCAAAGAAAAATTTAAAAAGTTGGACATGACACTTTTTAACAAAAGAATTTAAAAAAAATCCAAAATCAGAATTTTCTTTCATTCTTTTAAACAGTCTTTAGGGGCCCAAATGTTGAAAATAACTGAAATGGGTCTAGGGATATGTTGGAAGCGGCTGCTTGTCTTTTTTTCTTTACAAATATGGTCTTGAACTTAAAGTGGAAAATGTTATGTTGTGAAGGTAAATGTTTACTTTCTATGAACACATAGAAACGTTTGTTGTAGTGCTCTTTAGAGAGCAAACCTTGTTAATATCTGACCTATTAAATGTTGAAAATATTCTTGAGAGCTACCGATTACGGATGAATTGTAGTACATTTAAGTAAACATGGGATTATCATTGTCACCAAAACATACACTATATCTGCTAATTATTTAGTGACAGTGAAAACCTCAGAAAAACAAATCTATTTCTCCTACTTTCACGACTTGAACTAAAACACCAGTGACTATTGTTCCAACTCGGAACCCGGGTCAGCGCGTTCTGTCAACTTTTTTTGTTTCTCGGCTGTATGAAATTTCGATTTTAAAAAACACCTCGAACGCACCAGACGTTAAGCTTTTATTGCGAAAGTCAGAAAACCGGAAGTGCAATTTGCCCCTGAGTAGCATGGAGGCATGACGCCGGTGAGCTGAGTAGGCACTTTAAACCGTAGAGAGGAAAGAGGAAAGCCACGCCAGGAAAGATCCACAACGCTAGAGGTAAATATTTGAAGTGACATCTTGTTTATAGTGCAAAAATAGCCAGTTCTTATTTGAGGTCTTTTCTAGTGCAGTCCGGTTTCTTAATTAAAAAAAAGAAAATCTACGAAACTAATCCGAAATCCTGAAATCATGTAACAAGAACCGAGTTACAAACTTTCCAGCCAATGAAACAATTTGCTTTTCTCCATTTGAAACAATCCCGAGTTTGACCGTTAAATTCGCATCGATGCCCAAACGTTGAAGTCAACTGCTAGCAGGGACGTTTTGCCGTTATTTTTGCTGTCACTGATCCAGTTTTTTAAGCGTGTTTCTGTCATGCCAAACTGTGATAATAGTTGTTTCTAGAAATTATTTCACTTTGATATCCACTGTTTTGCTTTTATTTCCAACACATGGGTTCATCGTTCCGTCGTGTATGCAGAAGTTTGCAGTAACTTTATGTTGCATTTAAGCACACGTTGCAAACTCCACAATATGTACTAAAATAGCTGGAAAAATGCACATTACTCATGATGACCATCACAACAGCCTTGTTCAGCAGAGGATTTGTGTGAGCTTACAACAGTTTACAGATATTTTAAAACACATCTGTTCTCTCATTGCCAGTGTTGAAATGTTTTAAAATAAAGTTCTTACAACAGTTTTAATTCACAAATCTTATGCATGTTTTGACAGTTTTCAAATGGTCATGCAATAAAACAAATCTAAAATAATCCTAGATATTTTGATTGTTTCGATTATTTTATGATAACCATTAAAATGCACCATGCAATCCCACCCCCCAACAATGTATTTTGTCTTTGTGATATTTGCATAATTCAGATCAGCAGATAATTAGAAGATATAAGTTAATAGGGGGCAAATTGCTATTCAGACCTGTGTGGAAAAACCTCATTTTTTGTGAGGCCAAAGTAAAAGTCACCCATCACTGCCTATACATGTAAAATGAAGAAAACTGAAAAACCAACACATCATGCTGTGATTTAGAGATATTAAAAAAGTGTGGGGGGGAAAGGAAACAAAAATGTCCATCTCACAGCGGCCACAAAAACATTGTAAAATGTTTAAGAAAATTTTCTATCCAACTTGGCCTGGACGGCTTTTCTCTTATTTACAAAAGGTGAATAGTCTTAAATATATTTCTTTAACCTATTTTTGTGCTTCTCAGTGCATTAATTATAAACAAGTTATTTTTAACGTAGAAAGTTTTAAACATCTGAAACTTACTGACACCAGAATGGAGGTATCAAGTCGAAGAGTCCTACTGAGGCACCTGGAGCCAGCGAGGCCTCTGCGCCGCTGCGTCCATGTTAATGTTGGTGAGTTTTAAGGTGCCAACCTGAAAATCGGAGCGTTTGCCTTAATTTACGGGTTGTCACTTTATTTATAGAGCCACAAATAAATGCTGCAGCAGGTGAACAGCCCTTGATGGAGCAGGAGGTGAGACAATCATTGTGTAATATTGCAACATATGTCAGGGTTGATGCAAAACTAGAATGTGTTAAAATGCACATAAAAGTTGTTCCTTTTTTTTTTTTTTTACTATTTTTGTCACTTATCGATGTTCTACGTGACATTTCAAATGTATTCCTAATAGACACTGTTTAGTCATTAAAATAAAAAATTCTCTTGACTCCCTAACCTTTGCACTTGACAGAGTACTGTTGGCATAGAGCAGTTTTTGAAGATTTTCAATCTTCACAAACAGAAAAAAGGTAAGAAACAAAGCGTTGCTGCATTTCAGCTCTCACACAGTGCCACCCTCCTGCTCTGACATTTATTTGAGAAGCTGTCTGAATATTAGATTTGGTTTTCTTTTGTCTCAGTAGAAAGAATATCTTACACAAGAGACTTTTTAATTGGTTTGGCCGGCTGCCCTGAAGCCAAGAAGAGGCCAGAATACCTACCGGACCACCCCATTGTGTTACCCGAGGCAGTAAGTTGACGAACTCGAGTTTAAAGCTTGATTCTTGTCCTGTCGTTAATCGCAAGTTTTAGATCTTTTGTACATTATTTTGACAGAGGGATCCAGGCCAGCAAGAGCTGGGAGTAACACAATGGAATGGTGTAAAAGAAGATGTATGAGTAAGTAAGAGTTGGAGGATTAGAATATGGATAATGTTTAGATTAATTTTGATGGCAAATTTTCACTGAATGTAAATTGGTCTCACGAAAGCAGCCAAGACGGTGACACAAAACCATTTCATGGAATTACAGGGTGCAACATTAAGTGCTTTGCAAAAATATTCGGACCTCTTAATGTTTAAATACATTATCACCTGAAGTTGCAATGTATTTATTTGGATTTTATTTGATGCACAAAGTAGTGCATAAGTATTACTAAAACAAACAACCTCTAGGTTGATTGTTTTATATGGCACTAGTTATAAGTAAAAAGTCACCAGTTAGTAAATGGTGTCTTTGTGTGTGTAATGTAACTTCAACATAAATGTCACTGCTCTGGGAAGGCCTCTGAGGTTTTCTAGGGAACACTAGTAAACAACCATCATCATGAAGACCAAGGAAGAGAACAGGGATAATGTTGTGGAGACGTATAAAGAAAAGCTAGGATGTGAATCAATATTGCGAGTTTAATACATCTAACAAAGCGATGTTAAATCCATTATCTCTACATCAAAAGAGGACGGCACAACTCTAACCCTGCGAGGACATGGCTGTTCTTTATAAGCTAGCCGGTTTGGCAAGGAGAGCATTAATCAGAGAAGTAGTGAAAAGGCACCTTGCTGCTTGCGACGTTGCCAAGGAGATTCATATCTCAGGTGGGCGAATCTGAAGTCTCAATAAATGAAAAACAAAATCTCCCTCCAATCCGATCATTTTCTCAGTTACGTACTGCATTGTGCAGATATGTCACATCAAATGTAGTTCAGGCGACCAATTTACTGATATGTCATTGTTATAAAATCAGCATGGGTAACACTAATATTGGAATGTTTGTTGGCTGTGATTTATTGCAATGCCTATCATTTTGCAAATTGCAAGGTTTTCTAAAAATAGTGCAATATTCTGGGCACAGTCTGGAATATTGTCAACATGCTCTGTGCCTGGTTATGACTTGAGAGCTTTCTGTTTTGAGTACAGCGTAGAAATGTTGGGAGATTCTCATCCAGAAAAGCACATAGTTGCTCATTCAAATATGAAGTTAAAGCCTTAATCAAACTTGAATTATGTGCTCAGTCACTGTTACATTAACATGTACCTGATCAGCATTCTATATGTCCCATTTATTTGGAATATAATAGAGATGCAGTTCTTATCACCTCCAGAAGGGGCACTATTTGCTTTCATCTGGAAGAGCAGCAAAAATAATTGCTCTATTAGTTTTTTAAGATAAGCTACGCCACACTCAAATCTGAGTCCTCCCATTAGTTTTTTTTTTCATGACTTTCTGTCATGAAAGGAGCAATGCTACACATTGAAGTAGAAGCTTTTAAAGGGGCGGTGGATAATTTGGACAAAATTGATCTAAATTTAGAGAAAGAACAGAAGCTTTTGCAGATGTCTGAAAGACGAGGGGTTAAATAAATGTGCTTTCCCCATTAGGCTTAGATTCTGTGAGGAACCAATTGGGTTCGCAGATAATTATTGCACCACTATTTTAGAGTTAGGCCAGCACTTTTTTTTATTATCTTCCTGTGCAGTGATTAAAAATACTTTTCAAATTTCTCTTTTGTTAGGATGCCAGCAAGGCCTTCCACATCTTGAGAAACTTGCACAAGTGATGTTTACAGCAAATAGGTTTTGCACTGTGTTGATTGCTTCTCTGCTTTAATTTATTTTAACCTATAACATTACTGTTTGCATGTTACTTTCAAGTTTTTTTGACGCCTTTTTGCTGTGTGAAATGTTTGTTTTATCTTGTCTGTTTCAAAAAAGGCTCTAAACAGCAAGGCAAATTTGCCAATATTTCTTTCTGACCTGATGTAAAGTGTAACTTTTGAACTTCATGTAATTCAGCAGAAAATATTGGATTGAGTAATTCGTTGATATTGTCTATATGTACGACACATGCAAAAATACTGTTGTTTGCATTAAAGAACAAAAAAACAATCCCCTAAAGCGTGCAGAATCAATTATTTGTCCCATCTGACTTCAGTTTTGTACATCAATAATTTACATGCATCAAAGCTTTTTCCTTTTGCTTTTGAAATAATAATAGACTGCTCTCTGAAGTTTTTGTGTGTAATATAATCTTTGAAGCAAAACAATCGTGAGGCAAGTTGAATAACTGATTCTTCAAAGATGGCTGATAGTGAATATAAATATTTTGTTTAGGGACATTATTACACAGTCTCATCGAAATATATAGGAATCCCTTTGATTGTGGGATGTTTATTCAGCTGTTTCCTCTTGGAGCAACAAAAAACAAAAAAACTTCCTGAACTGAAAAGAATCTAAAGCTGAGGTATTTGGTTTAACCAAGTTACTCCTATGTTTGTATTTCCATCATCTTTAATTATATTTGACCAAATTTTATTATTCAGTGTCATAATTTCTCACAGAAATAATTTCTCCATAACAAAACAAGTTTTTTGTTTTATTTCTCAAAAACACAAATTAACTTGCAGCACAAAATGTGTTTGCTAATTGTAAACAATTTCACATGCTCACTGGAAGTCTTACAGTTTTGTTTGGGGCTTTTCCACTTTTCAGATTCCTGTAATAGAGATATTGCACATCTGTAGTTAGTCACTTCTGTACGTGACACAGAGCCAGTACCTCCCAGCCAATGAGAGCGCTAAGGCTTAGGGTGACGTATCTCGTACGTCATCGCCGGTATTTCATGTCTGCTGCGGCGGCGTCAGATGTCCAGAGATTTCCAATTTCCAAATTTCGGAGGAAACCAGCTGTGAAGACAACCCGTTCAAGGTCCAATACCTAATTGTTGATTATTTGGCACTTGTCGTCGTCGTCCAACCGTTCAGTGAGTTCACCCGGAAGGTAAATATGGATTTTATTCATTCTTTTCACCCTCTGCGATGAATTGCTGTGTGTGCGGGATGTCTAATCTTTACTGCAAGGACGGGTTTTGTTTTGTTTTGTTATGAAAATATACAACCCTCCGCAACCAACCTGCTGTGACTTCCGCCGCCCCCGGCGACGTTTTTAATTTAAAACGAGCAGCTGGTTCGAACTTATAACCAGTTCCTGACAGGTGTTGTTGAACTAAGGTGTCTTTGTTTTTTTTTTCTTCCCTGCCGGTAGCTGAACATTCCTGCGTGAACTCAGCTTTTTTTCTTTTCTTCCCATGGACATGGATAAAAAGGAAAAGCAAAAGTGCAGCAGGTGAGAATTTACCCTTAATATTCGCAAACAATTATTTTTTTCATTATGGTTTAAGCAGAAGCTCATTGGAAAAAAAAAATCATACTGTAAGTTAGGAAACTGCTGGGTGTGACAGGATATAAGTAGTATGACCTTTTCTCTCTTTTTAGTGAGTGCTACTGTAATAGACAGTAGTTTAATTGCACCATAAGCACATTCACACAGATTAACTCCTCTGCTCATTTTGAGTCTAATGAAGCTCTTCTAACAACAAAGTTAGACTGTTTTACATTTTCACCTTCATGATCCATTGCTTAGAAATTACAATTTAACATTAGTGGTGAAGCTGTGGTACATTCACTTCCTTTTGCTCTAGAGTAGTTTTGGTCTGAACTATAAATGGGAAAACAAATATCCTCAAATGTGGATGAGCACATTTACGTTTCCTTCAGATACTACTCAAAAGAGAAATGCAGTGGTGAACATTTCAAGATTACCACGCACAGATTTTGAACCAAGAATGAGTAATACTTACAGACTAACCTCGATCGGGAATACTGATCAACAATACTGTGTGGGTGTTGTGGCTGCCATTGTGTCTTGCAGCAACGTGTTAGCCACAGATCTTCTTTAGTAACAATAAATGGAAAAAGACAAACTGCTGTGCCCATTTAAAATGCGTTGATGGCTTTAAGTCTTTATCCACGTATATAATTTAGAGTTAAAGAACAGATTTAATTTAAATCTGAAAGTGATATTGGTTTAGTCTGATTTGAATAAACTGAATGTTTAATATCTGCCCTCTCTCCCTCATATAGTCCTGTTTATGTGCACAACCCTCATCTGGATGCTCTGAAAGATGACATCCTCTATCACTTCAGTCTAGGAACTGGAAGTCATAACCTACCAGCCATGTTTGGTGACGTCAAAGTAAAGAATTTTAATACCTTTTTTATGGGGAAAAGTGTTATTCACATGACTTAATTTTATGTTTGCAGTGGTTTAAACTTTTCCTCTACACTGAAATAAAGTCGGTTTCTCAGACATGGTCAGTGTAATTATGATTCACTGTGACCGTTGAGGTGTAAACCAGTGTTTTGTTTTTGGTAAATGAGCTCATTTTTAAATTACAGTATTATGATTATCTGACGATAACGTTTGATTTTTGTCAAAAATCTTTTGTGTGTAAATGCGTCTTTTAGTTTGTGTGTGTCGGAGGGAGTCCGTGGAGGATGAAGTCATTCACTGAGTTCATTGCAGCAGAGCTCACAATGGAAGACCCCAAATCTGAGTATCCTAACATCTGTGCTGGGACAGATCGTTACGCCATGTACAAAGTCGGCCCTGTTCTCTCTGTCAGTGTATGTACAAACACGGCTCAGCTAAACTCGTTTCCTTTAAGGTTTCTGTCGTCTGTCTAGTTCATGTTTAACTAACTTTTGTGTGACATGTTTGTGCTCGACTTTCACAGCATGGAATGGGGATTCCATCTATTGCGATCATGTTGCACGAACTCATAAAACTGCTTCATCATGCCCATTGCACTGATGTTACTATCATACGCATAGGGACATCTGGAGGAATAGGTACATTAGTTGTCTTTTTTTAATGTGACCTCTTAATAACTTTACCAACAATACAAGAACGTTAAGCAGTGGCTAAAATAGAAGAAAAAAATTTTCATTTTTAAACTTTAGTCTCACAATTTCAACCCTTTTTGTGTTCTGATTGTTTTCAAAGCTGATGATATAAAAAGATTTTGTAATAATTACCTACAATGTTGAATATAAGATGATTAGGTATGGACACATTTGCTGACAAATTGTTCTAAGTGTATAGTATTTAAAAAGGGAGATACTTGTTTTGTTTTGAGGAAGATCAACGCATTTAACAAAAGAGGTCAGGATGAGTTCAACTTAAGTGCAGTGTCCGGTTGTTATAGAGTAGATCGGAATCAAAACCATACAATCATTCAAAATATATTCCATATTTTAGACCACTGGATGTTAAAGGTCAGCAGACAGACAGATTAAGTAGCAGTTTATTTTTCTCACTTGTAAATTTGTTTTGTTTTTCAGGATTTGAGCCTGGCACGGTTGTTGTTACCAAACAGTCAGTTGATCCCACATTCCTGCCTAAGTTTGAGCAGGTGATCCTGGGAAAGACGGTGGTGCGCAGCACTGATCTGGACCAAAGCCTGGCCCAGGAGCTGTTGCAGTGCAGCCAAGGGCTCAACCAGTTTGAGACAGTCATCGGTAACACCATGTGCACGCTGGATTTTTATGAAGGTGTGTACTCTCATGTAGTGATGGTTTAGCATATTCTTTCCATTGCAGCACACTTACGGTATTTTGCATTTCTTTTCTTTCCCTTGTCTCTGTCACATAAAATCCAAAGGTCAAGCCCGCCTGGATGGCGCCTTCTGCTCCTACTCAGAGGCAGATAAACAGGAATATCTCCTAAAGGCCAAAGAGGCAGGAGTCTACAACATTGAGATGGAATCATCCGTTTTTGCTGCTATGTGCAAACTGAGTGGTCTGCGAGGTAAAAACGCATGACAATACTTTCATAACATAACTGCCAAAAGTGTCACTGACTCAAAGCAATATTTTATGTGATCCGCTGTTAACTGTCTTGCATGTTCTCGTATTTTTTTGTGCAGCGGCTGTTGTCTGCGTCACACTGTTGGATCGGCTGAAAGGAGATCAGCTAAGCAGCTCTCATGAAGTTCTTAACGATTATCAGCTTCGTCCTCAAATACTGGTTGGCTCCTACATTAAGCAGCAGCTAAAGGCCAAAGCGGAGAACAGATGAATGTTAAGAGTGAACATTTTGTCTGAGCATTATATAGGTTATAAATGACCAAGCACTGAAAATGATCTACAACAGTAGATTTAAGCTGCTGTTGTAGTTGATATGTCTTCACATAGGGGTAATATTATGTATTTTCCACTATGGGCCATTTCATATCACCACCAATCCTCAGTTACAAATTATGTATATGTCAAGCATGGCTTAAAAGAAATTTGACTTCGCAAATTAACACCTTGAAATTCTCTCTTTTAAGAGAAGGTTCTACTCTTTCCGCTTTCTGCCTTCAGCACGTCATGACAACTTCTCCCCATTAAGACTTTAACAAAGGTTTTACTGGTGTTTCACTCAGAAGTAGTTTTTCTGATGAACTCAGCATCTTCCAGAGACCCCAAATGGCTGCCAGTCAAGGATTTCTCAAACATGTATGAAAGAATCAAAGCAACACTGATGGTTTATTTTTGATGATAACATTATGGAAATAAAGCTCAATATCGAGTTATACATCATACAGTCCCTTTTAAATTATGCCTTGTATTAACACATTGTTGGTGGTTTGGTATTCAGGGACAAACATGCACTCTTACTTTTTACCCTTTGTCTTACTTTTCAATTTCACTGAACATTGTATGAATTTACATGTTAAAGTTTTAATGATCTTTGATTTAAGGCACTTTTGTGTATTTAAGTTCCTGATCCTTAAAACTTGAACTCCATAAATATATATAACTTTTATGACTTGAAATAACTACTGGTGCTAAAAAACTGCATGCGATATATAAATATTATATACATATACATGTGTATATAAATTAAAACGGTTGTCCTTGCAGTGTGTCAGTACTTGTGTGCTCTTGATATGTGTCATAATATGTTTGATGTATTTGATCAGTTAAAAATATTGGCAGGTAATGAAAGATTAGTGCTTCAGAGCATGATTTTATCATATTGTTGGCATTTTTCCTTTATATCACTCAAAATACATCTTATTTTTGAAGATCGCCCACTTTATGTAAATTATTCCCAGGGCTTTTGGAGAGACGTCAGTGTGTCTTGCCATTTAAGATTAATTGGGTAGTCTTATACACATTGAATGCAGTTTCCAACAGTAGAAATGATGTGATCACTGCTGAGAAACATTCTGCCTCAGTAAGTCTATGCTCTTAATTTACTTCTAATTAGTGTGTTAAATTTTTTTTAGCTGTTATAAAAATTAAGCATATATCGAGCTTGGCTTAAAAGAGGAGTGTAAGTCGTTCGTCATTTACTTCCATTTAAAGAGCTGTGAAAAATCTTTTTCTCATAAAACTCAAATTTCATTGCATCTTGATTTCATGTGATAAATCAATATTAAAACAGCTAATCAATCCATTATTTGAAAAATGAAGAGATATTCACATCTGCAAACTTCCCAATTTGGATCAGGTTTTGAATCACCTCGTTCTTGGTTCATTGACTCAAGCTTGTTAGGATGAAGGCTGCAGCTGCAGCTCAGGGTGGATGCTGGTACCCGCCGTGCGCGTCACAGGCAAGAGGAGGGTCTGGATGCGCGTTCCTGCGCGCGTTCCTCTTGCTCCCCTCTTCCCAGTCCAAGCCTGGTCTATTCGCTGACTCAGTGCCTTAAGTAGCATCACGGTTCATCGGAACAGAGCTTCAGCATCCTCTGCAGAGAAATACATCAGCCATGGCTAAAACTGTAACCGGTAAGTGTGTTAAGACTGTTCCTTTCTGAAAAGATGGATGGATGCATGGATGGATGGATGGATGGATGGATGGATGGATGGACGCATGGATGGATGGACAGACTCATGACAGGTGCATCCTTTCCGTTAACAGAAAGGTGCAGCGCATCGTTTGGCGTTGTATTGTGAAAGATTAATAAAATAAAATAAAGAACATTTTAGGCACCGATCTCTTCTACTGAACGCGAGCGTGTTGTCTCAGCTGAAAACTGCAAAATGCAAGAATGGGGCTTACAAGGCCAGAATCCTTCTTCATTGTCTGAAACGTTTATTTGACTGCTGCTTCGTTAATATTTTCATTTCACATAACGCAGCATGATGGAGATCATCTGATCGGAATTGTTAAAGCAGCTTTGTTCGCAGTGCTGCCCCTGCGCCGCTTCATGCCACAGCGGCCCCCCAACATGCAGCATAATGCAGACGGACCCCACCCAAGATGCTAAGCGGCCGATCATTGAGCCGACAGCAAAACAATCATATTTATCCCGCACTGGCTTCTTTCTGCCTGACTTTTACTATGACCAAGCTTGCATAGAGATGCTAATCCTTAAGTGTTGCGTTTATGTAGGTATTATTATTTATTCATTTATTTTTTATTTTTTTTTTTTAAACATGATGAGAAGTGAGTCTTTTCATTCTTTAGCTTGTCATATTTCCTCAAAATCCAGAATGGATCTCCAGCTGTGGCATGTTTTGGAATTCATCTAGCAGGAAAGGAACTATTTATATGTTCATCAACGATAATAGTTGGGGATTTAAAGTAAAAACACTAAAACAGCTTTTATTATTGGATATAGGCTATAGTTCCCACTACATTAGTTTGCTCAGCAATTTTTGTTTTACATCAGAGTGTGAATGTTCAGATTACATAATCTACACATTAAGCAATACACAGTAAGGCAAACAGATTAAACCTTCATAGAGGCATATAAGGTGATGAACAAATACATCTAGAATGACACAATATTAAAACAATACCCTGGTTTAATCATCCCATTTTGATTGTTTTGTGTGTGTTTGCATCCTGATGGTATATGGAGAGTGTATTTTAAGGTGGGAGGCAGGCCAGCCCTGCAGCAAAAGAGACGCTTCACACACCGGCCTTTGGAACAGAAGGCTCAGCAGCCCTGTTGTCCTCTCTGAGGACCTATGTGGGCACTTTCACAAAAATGTAAAGAAGGAAGACAAATGGAGTGCAGATCACTAATCAGCCGGTTCGATAATAAAATAAGCTTGCGGGGAGGCTTTGGCACAAAGATTTAACAAGGAAACTGGATGACCTTACACGCAGGCCCGTTTGTTAGATTCAAATGTGATTTTGTGTTTATGACAAGTTTCTTTTAAAAAAGAAATGTATGATGACCACATCAGAATGGATAAATCAATTACTCTTCAATTATTTATGGAGGGACAGAATGCTCCCATATCTTGAAAACTTAAAATGCATTATTGATTCTGTGATAGCGAATCAATAATACGTTATTGATTCACTATCAATAATGCGAAAGTCATGTCTTCATGACTTTGACATAAAGACATGTCAAAGTCTTCAGCATGCTGAAGACTTTTCAGCAGGTCAAAGTTCTTCTTAGACCTTCTAATGAGCCTTCATTTGATCCAGGTGCATTAAATTTTGCAATTACCTTGCAAAATTATTCATACCCCTGGAACTTTCACCTATCCTCTCACATTATGAACTCATTTTTAATTTGCTCATTTCAGTTTTACATTATAGAGGAACATGAAGTATTGTGAAATAAATACTTCAAATACTTCATCTCATTTTATGACAAATAAAAATGTTAAGAGTGTGTTGTGAAATTGTGTTCAATGTCCTTTCATTTTATAGCCCGAAATTATACTAATAGTAATAAAAAGAAAATCACTGTATTAGGAAATGGTGTCCACCTGTATGTTATTTAATGTCAGTATGAATTCAGCTGTTTAGTGAAGAATTCAGAGATTGTTTTAGAGAACTTTAGTAAACAGTAACATCATGCTGATGAAGGAATACAGCGGACATGACATGGATAATAAGTTTAAAGTAGATTCAGGTTAGAAAGCAATAACCCAAACCTTAAACTTCAACAGCACCGTTCAGTTTCTCATCTAGAGAATAGAAAAGGTAGGTTACAAATGCAAATCTGCCAAAATATTACTGTCCATCTAAACTGACAAGTCAGGTAAAGATTAATTGAAAAAAACTGATGCTGAAATCCTGAGCTCTGGTGGAAGAATCCATTGACAGTACAACTGCACTGCACTCAACAAATCTGCCCTATTAGCATAAAATCCCTGTTTCAGTTTTCCACAAAATCATCCAAGGCACAGTCAGCATCTCCAGCAGGGGTGCCCAAAGTCGGTCCTCGAGGGCCAGCATCCTTCACGTTTCAGTTCTCTCCCTGTTAGCACCAACAACCTTTTCAGCAGGTCAAAGTTCTTCTTAGACCTTCTAATGAGCCTTCATTTGATCCAGGTGCGTTGAACCAGGAAGAGAACCAAAACATGCAGGATGCAGGCCCTCCAGGACCGACTTTGGGCATCCCTGATCTAGAGGAAAGTCAAATCATGTGACATTTTTCTTTCACTTCATGATCATATTGTATTGAATCCCAGTAAAATGCACTAATAATTACTTTTAGCCAACAAATATGAAAACAATGCAGACTACCCTAAAGACTGTACACCAATGCTGAAACATGGTGGCGTTGACATCATGCTGTGGGGAGTTTTTTCTTTGGAAATAAAAGATGAGCTGATCAAAGTTGGTATGAAGATGGATGGAGCGAAATACATTCTTCCCATCCTTGAATGAAATTTGTGAGAGACTGCTAAAATATTGTGACTGCAATTAATTTCAGTACTTAATTATTGAGAAAGCCCCTTAATTGTTTATTGTTTGACCTGATTCGATTTTTTTTTATTATTTCCCAACAGCATACAAAGAGAAGATGAAGGAGTTGTCCGTCCTCTCTCTCATCTGTTCCTGCTTCTACCCAGAGACTCGCAACAAGCTCGTTTGTGAGTTTGAAGGTATGAAGGATCTGAAAAATTGATTTTCTTTACAGCCAAACAAATGGTCCCTAATGGATGTTTTCTCTTCCCTGGAAGTAGAGGCATTAATCAACTGGTATGTTAATGGATTTTTTCAGCACTCTCATTGTATTTGTCTGATTTACAGACATGGAAGTTAAACCTATAGACAAACGGGCCTCAGGGCAAGCCTTTGAGGTCATTCTCAAGCCCCAGTCTCCGGTGTCAGACATTGCCCACAACCTTCCCTCTCCCCCAAAGAGGGATCTCTCCCTGGAGGAGATTGAGAAGAAACTGGAGGCAGCTGAAGAGCGAAGGAAGGTATTTTCTTTCTGACAAACAGTTTTTTGTTTTAAATAGCAGAGGCTTTTCAAAATGACATGAATGTGTATTTATAGTACCAAGAGTCTCAGGTGCTGAAGGCTTTGGCGGAAAAGCGGGAGCACGAAAGGGACGTGTTGCTAAAGGCCATGGAGGAGAACAGCAACTTTAGCAAGATGGCTGAGGAAAAGCTCCAGCTGAAGATGGAACAGATTAAGGAGAATCGCGAGGCCCAGCTGGCAGCCATGATGGAGCGCCTCCAGGAGAAGGTCAGAGTTGCGAAAACTTAGGCCTTTATCAGCGGGGAATCAGTGTTGCAGTCTGAGTATTAGAATTTCCAAACTAATAATTGTCACTATGTATGTCCCTATGTTCAGGAGAAGCATGCCGCAGCTGTGCGCAGGAACAAAGAGCTGCTGAGGGAAGAGCAGCTAGCATGAGCTTCACACAATTCCTGTGGTCCGTCTGTCGAACCATCCATCCATCCCTGGCCCGCCCTCAACCTCCAAAACAGACACTCTGCCCTGAAGGCTGAGAGGCTCAAGAAACTCACCACCACAGCACTGCACACCTTGTCACAACTATCCACAATCCTCAGTATTATCAATGATACAGACATCTATGACACTCCTTTTACAACCGAATAGATTTGTTGATGATTTAGCGAAAGCGCAACCATTTGACTTTTATTTTGTAAATCTATCTATCTATCTATCTATCTATCTATCTATCTATCTATCTATCTATCTATCTATCTATCTATCTATCTATCTATCTATCTATCTATCTATCTATCTATCTATCTAGCAAGCAAGCTATCTATCTAGCAAGCTATCTAGCAAGCAAGCTACATGGCAAGCTATCTAGAACTAGATAGATAGGTGGCAGGTTAGCTATCTGTTTAGCTAGCTAGCCAGATAGCTTCTTGCCTCGCTTTCCCTCTCTCTGTGTTTTGCTGTCTTGCTAGCTAGCTAGATAAATAGACTGAAAACTAGTTAGCTAAATTTCTTGATTGCCAACATTCTATCAATATAGCTAGTTAGTTAGATAAATAGATACTGTAGAAAGCTTGTTATCAATCTTTTTAATAGCGAACATTTTATTTATTTATTTAGCTAGCGCTCTGTTTTTTTGTCAGTTACTGTTTATGTTCTTCAAGTTTTACGCCACAGCTCTTATCATTTGAAAGGCCTCAGTGTTGGGAGTTGGAAGAAGATGGAGGATTCTCAGTGTTTTCTGATGATGTCATGACGATGACGACAATGATGTTGATCAAATATTTGTGTTTCGTGAAGAGTGACAGTCGATATGTATGCTGCAAATCTGGTTCGGGTATATCGCATCTGTTATCTCCCCCATGTTGCCTGCTCATTCTCAGCTCCGACAGATTCAGACCACTTCCTCTGAGATGAATTGTATTGTTGTTAGGAATGTATTTGCCTAAAAGGAGTAACTACACATCTGCATATTCACACCTTTTTTCAACCAGTCATTTGCCAAATAAAATAGCTCTCCGAGGATCTCTGGAGATGAGTCTCACAAAATGAATGAATGTTATGAGACCAAACTGGTATCATACACAGTGTCTTGGACAGTGGAATGTGCTGTTGCTCCCATCTTGATATTTGATAGCGTGAACCTAAAGTATGTCTGTGTGGGCGACTAGGCATCATTAGCATCTTTTCTCTTTAGAGGTTTAGGTAAATAATGGATGCAAGAAGCTTTACATACAGCACACTGAAGTAGTCTCTTTTTAACCTTCAGAATACCACTGATATCTGCCTGCGTAGTCTGCTGCTTGTGTTTTTTTCCTCTTCATATTTTTCTCTGTGAAAGCTTTGCCGAATAAAGGTTTGGGAGTTCTGTGACCATGGCATGCACCATCTATTACGTTTCTGTAATAAAACACAAGGGGAATTGTAAACTGCCAAATAAAAGAACCAGTTATCTACACACCTTGAGAACTGCAGTCTGCAAAATAAACCTTTTTCATTTAATTTCATTTAGTCTAATACATTTCAGGTAAAACACATGAATGTTTTCAACGGTAATATAAACAGAGAGGACAAACCAATATAGCTGTAAATCATGCTTGGAATTTGCGTTTGCTATTTATAGAAACCAAGTTTTTATTTCTAAAGGTTTCACAAGAAAAGACACTGATAAACTCTGTTAATCTGATTGGTTTTATAAACAGCCAAAAAAAAAAAAAACTCAAAATAGATCTGAATGATAAGTTCCTAACATTCATATTGAACACATTTTATCGCATACATAAAGAATATTATAATTAATTCTAATAAAAACGTAACATTATACAGAAAAACAATCAATGAAAGATAAAGACACACTTTTTTTGTTTGATAATAATAATAATAATAATAATAATAATAATAATAATAATAATAGGTTAACCTGAAACCATTGAACTAGCAGCCCTGGCTTGCACAACTTTTTCATGTTTCCACAAAAAGTGTCACCTGCTCAAAATCTATTACTGTTCTACCAACAGGTGGCAGCATCCGACTTAAGTCTCAATTTGCAAAGCAGGTCACTGTTTTGTTTAAAAAAGAAGGAAACAATAAACACTTAGGCTTTCGTTGTGACCTTGTGTTCAACCTATAGATTTGCTCATCAGAAGATGGTAAATTATTGTATTTATTGTATTTTAGATGAGTGTGTGGCTTTGGTCTGCAGACAACATATTAAGAACACATTTTCCCCCCTGGGTGCTCTAGGATAAAACAGCCTCACTAAAACAACGAGCCTCTAAAAATCTTCATTTATAGAAACCAAACAAGAAACAACCCATTTGTGCGAAGATGTGATTTATGAGACCATCTGCTTCTGCGTTGGTGATACTTAATAACTCTTTCTCCACCAATGTCCCCATCCTGTTCACACTATTGTCTCCGTTCCAGACCAGCCCAGGCTGGTGAGGTCAGGGTAACATTGTAAAGGATTTCCTCTGGCTCTTAATGATTTCCTGGGTATTCATAAGGGCAACAATGCTTTTGGATTCTGTTACTCAAACCTGGCACAGGGCAATGGACCTGCTTTCCAGTTAATAACCTGGATCTTATTAACTTATGATGAACTTCCATGGTGCTGTGGCTATAATGCACCCGCAGCATAAATACTGATTAGAGAAGAAGCCTATAATCAGATAATCAGATTTTGTCAAAAGAATAAGTTTGTTCAAAAATGTTGAGGATTAAATAAAACAGAAAATTTAACACAGAAATGTGTTTTGAACCCACTTTATTTGTAAAAAAGAAATAATAATACAAAAAAATAACAGATACATTAACAATAATTTTTAAGTTTCAAGACAGGTGTTTTCCAAATGTAGTCCATACAACATTGAATTTAAGTTTTTGCACATAGTTGCAATATTGCTAAATGAAACAGAACAAATTAAACAACTTTAAAATGTAGACATCTGTAGTCAACTGGCCCAGACTAACTAGGGCAGTATCTTAAGTCGTTGTTCACATCACATTTTTATTTTTCAATGAATGGAGATCAGGCAAACACATGTTTCGCAAGGCATTCAAAGAAAACTTACAAGCCAAGATTTTCATGTTCAACATCCCCATACAGCTATTTGTAAATGATGATGTCAAAGGCCCATTTTTAATCTATCTAACCAAAAACACTTCAGGTACAACAACAGCAAACCTTAAGCACATGTGCCTCCTTTGTTTTTGGTGCATTTCAGTGACTTGGTTAAAAAGCCACAGAGAGGACTGGCATAGTTAGAATGTTTTTGTCTCATTGTTACCAATAGATGACAACGTTATTATTTGCTCAAACTAAACTTCAGTTTCATTTTATTGAGTGGTTTGGACAAAAAGTTTTTGTGATATTTACTTGCATAGGTAAAAGAAAATTGAGTGGGCACCAAAACTCTAGCCCAGGGCCACATAACCTCCTATGTCTGGCCTTGGCGGCCGCCAGTTTACACATTTTTAAAATTATATTTGTACATTTCCTCTGCAGTCAATCTATCATGGCTTATTCATATTCTTACTTAGTCCTCAACCTGGAGGTGAAAAGACTACAGAAATTAAGCTTTTTATTCATCAAATGGTGAATAAAAACATATTCACCTTTTAAGTAAATAAAATTCTAAAAGGGCATTATGTCCACCTGCAACTTATCAAACTTATTTCTAAGGAAAATAAAATTATTTTCATCAATTTTCCTTTAGTTTATTGCCATGTGAACAGTTGAAGCGGGATTTGTCGGTGATGGTGGCCACAGCTCAGCTGTTGCCTTGAGTCCAGTGCTCAGCGTCAGAACGCCCCAATCTCCATGCCCCACGGCCTGTAAGGCTTCGACATGCTGGAGGTGGGACTCACTGTACCAATGGCTGTTGGGGAGATGAGAGGAAAGGCCCCGAAGGAGAGGGGGAAGGCCGAAAGCGAGGAGAGAGACGAGACGAGAGGTGGGGACAACTTAGATGTCGGCACAGGCAGACTGAGGGGTAAGGAGCCGTTAGGAGGCACCCTGAGAGACTCTGTGGGGGACAGCATACTGAGTCTGGATGTTCCTGAAACCTCACTGGATGAGGAGGATGAAGAAGTAGAAGAAGAGGAGCAGGATGAGGGTGGGCTGCTGTTTGTTCTGGGCGCAGGTGTCCTGCCCTGAGGGTGCTGTAGAAGAAGATGGTGGGGGAGAGGGGACGGGGCTGTCCCATACGCCGAGCCCCAAGCAAAGTGTTCCAGTCCAGTGTGCACCTCCCTCTGAGCGGCGTAGTTGCTGAGGTGGGACACTAAGCGGACCCGCAGGGAGTCTGTACTGTCCCGGCCCTCTATGATGCTCAGGTAACGGGCTGTCTCTGCCAGACACTCCCTGAAGCCCAAACTGCGGTAATCCTTAGCAAGAGCATGAGCCTCAAAGTAACCTGTGAGGCAAGACAACAGGAACCTATCAGGTAAGACAACAGGAATATCCAACCTGAAGCAGAAAGTTCTGGTTTGCATTATAATGTCAGAGGGTTATTCACCTTTTCCTCCAGATGCATGAAGCATCTTCAGGTGGTCCACTGTCATCTGGAGGATTTCTGCTTTTTCCAATTTAGCAGATCCCTGAGAAGCAGGAAGATGAATATTGTTTCTCTAAACAAATTTCAACTGAATTTGGGTGAAATCTGCATTAAAAAGAAGCAACACCATCTGTTTGGGTTCAGGATGTAATGAGGGGAAGAGTAATTTACCTGCTTCTCAAAAGCACTCGGTACCAGTCTTCTCAGCTCTGACAGGCTGTTGTTGATCCGGTCACGTCTCCTTTTCTCGATTATCTATTTGTAAACATTTCAATATGAAGACATATTAAATATTTCATCAGAAAACAGATTGAAAATAGAAAGATATAACAAGAATTAAAAACAGATGCAATCATAATTGTGACTAGAGGAAGGAAGAGAAGAACTGTGGCTTTAAAAAAAAAGTCAGTGCTGAATGTTTGCATACTCCTCTGCGCCTTTTTCTTGCTTGAACTTGTGTGGTGGTGGTGGAGGGTGACATTGATCCTGGAGAGTCAGCTTGACTGAAAGGAAAACGTCTCAATTATTTCTTTATCTCTTTAAATGATTGTAAAACATGACATAACTCATAGGCACAATATATCTTTAACCAAGAAAGGATGCAAAACATAACATATAAAATGTAAATTCTAAGATATAACATAATCTATCATGTAGTTATTTAAAAAACAAACAAACAGATAAAAAAATCCTACCCATTTTCGTCGCCACTGTCCTTCTCCACCTCCACATTGTCATCCAGCTCGCTGTCTGATGAGCTGTAGTTGAGGCTTCGCTTCATTCTGATGTCCAGGCTCTCTCGGTGGTTCTAGTTTCACGGGGAGCTGCAGCTGCACGGGGTCTGAGCAACAGTTTGAACGTCGGATCTGCTTCTGCTGGGATGACTTTCACACCGCGGGGAGGGGGCGGGGCCAGACGACTGAGGTGGGAGTGGTCCGAACTGGACTCGTCAGCCAGCTCGAACTCAGCTGACACCGACATGACGTGTTCATGTAAGAAATATATGCCATGTGGGACTGGAAAGGTTTGAAGCTGAAGCTTTTATTTGTTCTTTTCTTTATGGCTTTTAAAATTTTTTTTTTTTAATTTTTTTTTTTTTTTTTGCATTTTTAAAACAAGCACATTTGTGTCTTTAAATTATTCTGTTCAGTTGCGTATATATACCTGAGTATATTTTAGTAATTGTGCAGTATTTTTCTTGTGAATTTGTCCTTACTGCACAGTCTGTTATTTTTTTTTAATTATTTTCATTTTTTATTTTTGTGTGCTCTCACTTACTTGAACTTGCTGTTCTATTCTATTCTATTCCAAACAGAAGCAGTAATACAATTATAATTAGAATAAAAATTGTCCTTACAGGGCTCCTGCTCTGAGCCTGACATGACTGTTCGGCCCATCAGTGGAAATCCCATCCTGCTCCCCCAACCCTCCACCCCAGTGTCTCACAGACCACTACCTTGTTGAGACACAGCTGTTTCTGCTCCATCAGGTCAGTTGTTAAGTTCATGCACTGGGGCGAGACAAGTGCACACGAGCTCTTGACTCCCGTGAACAACTGCTGCAAGACCAACAATTCCTCCTCTCAGCAGGTCATAGGATATTTCCATAACGTCAGGTACAACATGAAGACAGGGCGATGATGGACATTGCACATCTCTCATGTCATTTGAAGATAGCATAATGGAATGACAGTTGTTATTTTAAAAAATAAAAAACTTTGTTTGAGAAAATATCTGAAAACTACATATCGTAATTAACAGAACCACTATAATAGTTTTTTTTTGTTTGTTTTAAGCTGTTTTAGTTTTAAGTCATGCAGTTGCACACAGGGGAGAAACTTCAGGAGGGCATGGGGGGTGCAGGGCCCCAAGCCAGGTGGAAGACTGAATATGACTTCAGGGAT